TCTAATCGTTGCCACGGAATATATCACGAAGTGGACTGAAGTTAGGGCTGTCCTGACCTTTCGAATGTGCTCGTCTTCACGTTAATCAGCAATTGATTAATTGATTGATTATTGATATGTGAGGTTTACCGTACCAAAACCACCATATAATGACGAGAGACACCGTAGTGAAGGGCCCCGGAAATTTCAACCAACGGGAGGGTGCATGTTACAGGCAATCATGTCTGTAACATGCACCCAAATCTGAGCACACTGGCCTCCAGCAATCTCGCCTCTATCGAGAAGCGTTGATTAACGAGTGCGTCATTTTTCGACGCATCACGCCAAGCTTGCTCAACACTGACCGCGGCACGGCCTTCACGTCGCGCGCATTCAGAAACCTATTGAATGATCTTGGGATTCGACATGCAGCGGCCACTCCTCAGCACCCACAAACAAACGGTCTGGTGGAACGTAGAAACCGTACCATAAATGACAATCTCGTCATACACAAGTCCCAGTTATAATAACTGGGACAAATATGTCGCCGCCGCTGTTCTCGCCCTCAATAGGTCACAGCCGGAAATCATACGAGATTCATCGCTCAAGCTCGTATATGGAAGGACGCCAAGGCTTTCCGCAACAGTCTTGGTTTGAAAGCAACAGTGCAAAACCGCCTGAATAAAACCAATGCTTGACAGTTTTTCGGCAAAGTTCACTTTAGAGCACCCCTGGCCATACCACACCATCAGGTGAAATTTCGCTTGCCTTTCAACGAGAACCACACCCCTTTCAAAGCAAAAGACCTAGTGCTGGTTTGACGCAGCCAACGTGTTTCACGGAGTTTCCAGAAGTTTCTTTCCCGTTTGCCGGCCCATTTTGAGTGGTAGAAGCCCCAGGCCCCGCTACTTTCAGCCTTAATGTTGTTATCGAACTGGGCACCAAAAGTGGAAACCATGTTTCCGGTCATGCAAGTGAGCTGAAACTTCATATGCCACGTGATATCTGTATTCGCGGCTCAGTCTTCTAGCTCAGACAGGGCGGCGAATGTAGTGGATCATACCGACAGAGTGACTGGCGCGTGAGGGGCAGATCGGTGTAGGAGAACGATGAAGATAACGTGTCCTGGATTTTGTTCGTGTCAGTTGCTGTTACACCTGTAAATATGTTGTGATAGAGCTACTTTTACTCAGATAAGCCCTAACACAATCTAGTGCATTGAGCTCATTGGTTAGGGCTCCAGCGCTACTATGCATTGTATACATATGTCGCGTAGAAACTGCCGACATTGTCACTGTACGCTTTCGTCCCTGGTTTGTCACTTTTTCACTCTTCATAGTGCGTTCGTGGTCACAGTGCTGTGTGGTTCGAAGTGTTGTTTGCCAACCGCACCGCAATCACTGAACAGCTAGGCGCATCTGTCCGAACGCCGATTGCTGCCTTCATTTGGAGTCGGGAGGCTCGAGCTCAAACCGGGAACGTGCCGGCGCAAATTTTTCATGCCTGAATATTTACTAGTCTTGTGAAACGTGTGGCAGGTGCTGAGAGACCAATCCATCATCCATCACTACATCACTGGTGCTCCCCTTCCCTTTTCCTCGTGTACCATCACTGTGACACGGGGCCGAAGTCGACCACTTGTATCTCCCAAACTTCGCCATCATATATTCGCCAAGCTTTTTGGCGCCAGTCACCACTGAATTCGTGCTAAGCAGCGTCTCATTACGATCCAGCAAACAAAGCGGCTGAGTGCAACGCTGGGCGCGTGAATTTCTTCGCTGTCAACGCTTTAAAATGACGCGACACACGAAGTCACTAATACACTCATTTCGCCAACCCGATACAGGTACCATCACGTCCACATTTACGTTTTGGCCCACTCTCACCATCTCGAGCTACTTCAGACATCATCAGTTGTGTAGAGTGATATACCCCTAGTCCTGAAGCGTTTTCTTTTGTCAATATACCCGCATTTACTGTGGCTTCAGTGATCGTCAGCAGATGGAACTCCCGCTCCGAATGGCCCAGCTTCGTGCCACAACCAACGCCTGCCCCTATGCACCCGTCAGTTGCAGTCCCCATCCTCCACGAAACCGTCACCTCTATATGTGCCAAAGCAACTTCCTCCCTCAACTTGCCCCTTCGCATTTGGCCCATAAATATTGAAGCTGACCCCTGCCAACATGCCCCCTAAAATACATAGACTCCAAGAACAAAAAAATGGCCCCGTATCTGCACGTTATTTGCAAATGTCGTAGAAAGACGATAGTCTTGCGTGTGGAGAAAGTGAACAAAACATTTATTTGTAGTTCCGCGCAAGAAAATCGGTGAATGGTTTTCTGGAGGCACTGCGTTAGAGTGCCTCGAGCGTGCAGTGGAGGCGAATGAGCGCATCAAGTCACGTCACACGTGATACATGAGCGCCATCTGGCAGTTTTTTTGGAAAACAAAGGGCAAGGCCCTGAGACGGGCGTGTGCGCCCGTCTCAGAGGTGATAAGGTGTAGAACGTAAGGCGACGGGTAGGTGCAACCACCATGTCGTCTTAGCAAAGGGTTGGAAACACTGGCCTTTTCTTGCAAGCATTGAATGGTAAGCGCAGCGTGATGAACGCTACAGACCTTAAAATTACTTATGTATGGCTTTTCTAGTAAAAGCCACACATACAGCATACTGACGTGTTGTGATGGTGCCTCAAATATGTGCAATAATTGCTTTTTAATCGACAGTCGCACAAGTATGAACGCTGAATCTTGAGCAACATTGGTGGGCGCTGCAGAAGGGGTTGGCTGTTTGGCGTATCGGCTGGTGCTGTTTAGAGCACCCGGTTTGCGTTAACGGTGGACAAAAAGACAAAGGTACAGACAGACAGACCAAAATTTTTGCGTCGAAGGTCCCCAAGAAAACTATCGTCTTTAAAAGTGGTAGACACAGTCGTCCAATGCCTTGAAGCTCAGTTCCAAGTGAGAACCGTAGCGAGACTACCCATCGTGTCGTCCTTAGAATATCCGCTGGAAGGCGGTACATGTATATAATGAATACTTGATGAAAAGATGCGATATGGCGGTACTTGAAGTGTTCACTGGATGAACGTATGGACGAATGGACAGACAGACGCACGGGTGGCCAGAAAGACAGACAGACGGATGTCTGCATGGATGGATGGGCAGACAAGTGGACGCACGGACGGACGGACGGATGGGAAGACAGGCAGAGAAGAGTCCCATGAAGCTGGGCTCTTCCAACGGAAAGGAATGGTGAAAGAAGCATAAGTGTGATAAAGACGAGGATTAACCTGGCTCAGTCCCAGGCATAGCTTCAAGAAAGAAAGCAAACACACTGAACCTCTGGGCAAGAAGCTAAAAATTTCAAGCAATATGACAGTCACGTCATATTACTCATACTGGTCATATGCAGAAAAAAGAACAATCTCCCGCACGAGACTAAAGCGCTACCATGGCCTGTCATGACTCGCTTTATTGCTCCCAGCCACATAAACAAGCCAGTATTCCACAAGATTGCCAGTCCGGGTCAACACTGTACATTCTCCAGCTTATATGGCAAAACCAAAGAAGACTGATGTAAAACAGTGGGGCTGGGTGGGAGCAAACTAGCGTACTACCTTTTCAAGGCCATTTGTCTCACTTGAAAAGCCCGCCGAAAGATGGCAGCAGCTGGCTGGCGTTTTCTTCTTCCGTCGATTCACCTGGCTCCATCTCCTAGCCACAGCAAGAACGAGAGCCGGTGCCCACCGCGAGTCTGCGGTCACGTGTGTGTGTGTTGCCTTGCCAGCCTGCATGCAGCGCTCTCACACGCAAGTTAGTTATGTTCACTAGCTAATAGAGACTGACTGTTCAAATGCCATGCCGCTGCCTTCGTCCTCGCCCCTAAATAGACCTCAAACTCTTACGCACATGCCGGACCTTGTCCTTATTATATGTGCTGTAGGAACTCCTGAAGTGCGTACGTGCCAAGCTGGCTAAAACTCGGCACGCCGGTCCACTAAAATTTAAACATTGTAACAGGTGCGGTGAATTACAATCAACGTTGCGCGGCGCAGTTTCTCTGTACTGAGTGTTTAGGCACTGATTGAGCGCGAATGCACGCTTCATCACTTGACGATCAATGAAAGACCTCAACCTTAACAGGCCTGCTGTAAAATAGCTAGCCAGGAGTACTTATCTGCGTGAACGCCCCGCCGCGGTGGTCTAGTGGCTAAGGTACTCGGCTGCTGACCCGCAGGTCGCAGGTTCGAATCCCGGCTGCGGCGGCTGCATTTCCGAAGGAGGCGGAAATGTTGTAGGCCCGTGTGCTCACATTTGGGCGCACGTTAAAGAACCCCAGGTGGTCGAAATTTCCGGAGCCCTCCACTACGGCGTCTCTCATAATCAAATGGTGGTTTTGGGACGTTAAACCCCACATATCAATCAATTATCTGCGTGAACACCCCCAAAACAGATGCTCGCATCTTCCCATGAGAGGAACTCGAACAAATTTGTTGCATACTGGTGAAGATATGGCGTGATTCTTGCGTAATTGGGTATGGTTTGGGAATGCTAAATTGCTATTTAGTCTTTATTATTCGTATTTATTGTATGAAGGAGCTGCGTTGCCTTCAATGAGTGGTAGGACGCTTATTTTGGATTGTGCCCTACAACTGCTCGAACGTACTGTTGCTTCCCCCGCATCTATCCGAGTTAAGCAAAGCGTCTAGCGAAAGCCAAGAAAATACACCCTTAACTGAATTCCGAACGCGCGATCCGTTGTTTACATATGCCGGGTGACCGGCATGAGCAGTCGGTTTTTTCTTGCAGACGCTACCTGCGTCGGCCTTGCGAGGCGAGATAGAGGGGGGGGGGGGAGCGGCAGTTGGCCCGAGACGCGAGCATGTTCAGTGGGGGTGTCGACGGTGCTGCAGACGCAGGATTTGCGAGTAGGTGTGACTATAAAATGCTCCGCATCCAAAATTTGTTTCGAGCTTACTAGTCCAGGCTGACAGAGAGCACGACAGCTGCCTACTTACCTGGCTTTCAATTTCCGCTGACTGTCTCACGCCCCACTGGAACATTCCAGTGAGCATAAGGGCATTTGCGATGGCTAGACCGACTCCACCACCGGACACTGAACCTGCGTAGGGAAACATAATTCTGTCATGCCTTCTATTCATTACACTGTTTTATCAGTGATCCCTCGCACGCTTAGTTCAGTGTGTCAGTCTTTTAAATAATGTTCATTGTTTGTATGTTTTATATGTCTGCTCTGTTTGAAAAGCAGGCATACATTGACATACGCAAGTAAGAACGTCAAACACGGAGCAGTGCTGCACACTTTCTCTTGATGGCGCACCATCACTCATGGCGGCGCAAACCACATTCTACACGTACGCTTCCTTTCTCTTCGCCGGGAGCTCACGCAGGGAGCGCACTTGGCTGCATGTAGAAACCACAAGCTAAGGCAGCAGCGTGGAAAACTCGCAATGCAGCTGGAGCTCGGGCTCGCCGCCAAGACCGTGTGGTGACAGCCACGGGACCGGAGCGAAAAGGGCTCACTTGCAAGAAAACCAGGCCCCAGAAACTCTCAAGTTCCAGTGATAGCAGTAGAGGGCGAAAAAATCGACCGCGATGAGTTTCATCATGTGCGCATATTGTCACCTGGTCGTGACGTCGACGAAGGGAGCAGACAAGAGGTTGAAGATTAAACTGTTTACTCAGTCACACTTGTGAACACGTAAAATGTTGATGATGATGATATGTGGGGTTTAACGTCCCAAAACCACCATATAAATATGAGAGACGCCGTAGTGAAGGGCTCCGGAAATTTTGACCACCTGGGGCTTTTTAACGTGCGCCCAAATCTGAGCACACGGGCCTACACCCTTCCCGCCTCCATTAGAAATGCAGCCGCCACAGCCGGCATTCGAGCTCGCGACCTGCGGGCGAGCAGCCGAGTACCGTAGCCACTAGACCACCACGGCGGGGCTGAACACGTAAAATGAAAGTCACATAACAGCAAGAGAGAGATAAATAAAATTTATTTACACATCCAGCGTGCAGAAATTCCCCGGCCTCGCAAAGCGTGGATGTTCCCTATCTTACGGTTACGGCTGTTAGAGTCCGATAATCTCAGAGCCTAGACCTCGAGGATGTTTAGCTCCGACTAGGCGACCGTTACTTGGGTACCTCCGCGCCCCTAGATGGGTCGTCGGCCCCTTTTCTCTGTTGCTTCGCCAAAGCCTCCTCAAGCCACTGGATGGACATTACATCAAGACACTGGCACTGATAGCAGCGAGCAGAGTGTCGGCCGTCGATGAGCTGGCAAGCGGTGGAGCGTGTCGGCATTTACACACTTGCCACCGGACATTCTAGCGTTATCACTAGCGGCGACGTTGGTTCGAGATTAATCTCAATTGTTTCGCGAAGTGGGCGTATCAAAACAAAACAATGTAGTATAATTGTGAACCTTCTGGAACGAGGCGCCGTTTGCGGGGAGCGTTCCAGATGTGCTTCGTGGCCGAAAACCTAATGAAACGCAAGTGTGAATAAGAAACGCGCGTGGCATTGTCCCCCTCCCGAAAAGCATCGTACCTATGCTTAAAATTGGACACCGGGGGAAGAACAATAAACTTAAACACATTTTAAAGAACCAACAGTAATGTTCAATAACAGAGAAACAAGAGAAAACAACGAACAACCCTGTCTTAAAGCTCGCTAACGCGCACGAAACAGCATGAGGCGCACGGCATGAACTACTTCAGGTTGCGCACGCCGCCGCTGACAGTTCGTGATGCCGTCGGGGACAACCTCATAGCCGCAAGTACCGAGACGTCGAACTACCCGGTACGGTCCGAAGTGCCATCGATGAAGTTTTTCACTGAGGCCATGTCGACGCATCGACGTTCATACCCGAACGAGGTAGCCGGGCTGGTATTCCACGAACTGTCACGGAAGATTGTAAGGGCCGGTTCACGCTAGCGGCAAGCATGCATCGCCGCCTGACGTTTGACATTCTCAGGCAGCCGTGCGCGGCTGTTTCGTTCGCGCATGTCCGCCGTTCTTTGCCGTTTGAAAAATGAGTCAGAGACCCATTTTTGCGCCGCTTGCCGTTTGCCGGAGAGTGACGAAGCCAACCTGCGACAGAGGAGCGACATGACTGAGCCTCATCGTCAGCTCTCGCCTTTGCGCATCGTCTGCGTCTGCCGTGCGAAACTTGAATCTGCTTGCTTTTTGCTCCACGTTTTTCACCCTATGTCATGTGTCTTGTTCCTAAAGAACGTTCCCGTAGGAAATAGAGCATTTTAGCCTGTCTTGTATTTAAAAAGAGCACAGCAATTCAAAACTACGACTCTAAAAGCAAGCGTTCGGACAAGTGGTGCCTGTTATCCAGTATCAGCAACAACTAACAAACGTGTAATGTATGCCCTCTGAGATTCAGAAAGGCTTGCATAAACCTACATCATATATTTGAATACAGCTCTCAAAAACGGCGCCTAATCAATTCGACTACTGTGTTGTTGAAGCTATATTACATGAGTCTAAAGTGAATGAAAGACCAGTTCGGAGCTTACGAGCAACAGAGCGCATGGCGGCCGCTTGATAGATTCGAGGTGGTCGACAACTTCGTTAGGAAGGGCAGCCATGTTTGTTGGAGGCTCAAATGCCTCGCCGGCGAAGCTTGCCATGCACTTAGAACATCTCTTTTGCGGATGGTGCCGGCCGCTGGTCTGCGGCGCTGCACCGTCAGGGCATGATTGCCGCTAGCGTGAACCGGCTTAATGGTGGCTGTTGGTCGTCTGTTGGTTCTTGATGCGGAAGCGGGTGAGTTGTCGGGATTCTTCGGTGCGCTGAAGGTAGATAGTCACGTCAAGGTTTTCTGCGTAAGCGACGTTTGGTAGCATAGCATCGAGCTTCATGACTGGGCTCTTTCCGTAGACTAACATGTACGGTGACATCTGCGTCGCCTCCTGTACCGCCGTGTTGTATGCGAAAGTAACGTACGGAAGGATGGTGTCCCATGTTTTGTGTTTGACATCGACGTGCAGAACCAACGTGTCGGCGATTGTCTTGTATAGCCACTCGGTGAGGCCATTGGTTTGTGGGTGGTACGCTGCAGTCCAGTGGTGGCTCTGCTGGCTGTATACCAAAATCGCTTGAGTTAACTCCACAGTGAAGAACGTACCTTTGTCAGTGATGAGGACCTCTGGTGCGCCTGACGCAGGATGGTGTCTTCAACAAAGAACTGCGCTATCACGGCTGCACTGCATCTAGGCAACACACTTGTTTCGGCGTAGCGGGTGAGGCAGTCGGTGGCAACAACGATTCATTTATTCCCGCAAGTCGACGTAGGTAATGGACCCAGTAGGTACACACCAATCTAGCGGAACGGTCAGTGGGGCGGTTTGACCAGCTGAAGGAAGCCTGCTGGTCCTGTCGGCGGTGTCTTACGCCGCTGACTGTCTCGGCATGTTCTGACGAAAAAAGTGACATCAGCGACAAGTCGTGGCCAATAGTACTTTTCCTGCTGTCTTGCGAACGTACGGGAGACACCGAGGTGTACAGCCGTCGGGTCGTTGTGTAAGGTATGAAGAACTTCTGATCTCACTGTTGTGGGGACCACATCATCGTCATCGTCATCATCATCATCATCATCATCATCATCATCAGCCTGACTACGTCCACTGCAAGACAAAGGCCTCTCCCATGTTCCGCCAGCTAACCCGGTCCTGTGCTTGCTGCTGCCAATTTATACCCGCAAACTTCCTAATCTCATCTGCCCACCTAACCTTCTGTCTCCCCCTAACCCGCTTGCCTTCTCTGAGAATCCAGTTAGTTACCCTTAACGACCAGCGGTTATCCTGCCTACGCGCTATATGCCCGGCCCATGTTCATTTCTTCTTCTTGATTTCAGCTATGACATCCTTAACCCCCTTTGTTCCCTAATCCACTCTGCTCTCTTCTTGTCTCTTAAGGTTACACCTACCATTTTTCTTTTCATTTTTCTTTCCTTCTCGTGAGGACCACGAAAAGGCGTAACTCGAAAGGTGAGCAGTTCTTCTTTAGGAGAACTCTGTTTTGCAAAAAGAACGACGCCATTCCTCTCTTGAACACCTTCAGAACATGCATGGTTGCCCTGGCGCGGTGGTTCGAATGGTGGCTGCGGCAGCTGCATTGCCGATGGAAACGGAAATTTTATAGGCCCTCGTGCTCAGATTTGGGTGCACATTAAAGAACCCGAGGTGGTCGAACTTTACGGAGCCCTCCACTACGGCGTCTCTCATAAATATATTGTGGTTTTGGGAAGTTAAACCCCACATATCAATCAATATTCAGTGGCACTGTTACCCTCCATGAAATTTAGGAGGCTCCTAAGTTCCCAGCCAGCTCGTTTTCGCTCGGCGAAGTCGTCGGCAGCTATGTTTCCCAAGAATCAGTCATTCCGGTCGTCCGAATGAGGTTCGTTCGTTCGACGGTTGCACAAAAAATGCAGTCGGCGTCAGGGTGTTATTTTTTTCACACTACTGAAAGAAAGCAACGTAGAATTCCAGAAGTCTTAGGCTCCACTGTGCGAGGCGACCCGTAGGGTCTTTCAAGCTAGCCAGCGACCACAAGGCGTGGTAATCGCTCACAACTTTCAAGGGCCTGCCGTAAGGTAGGGACGAAATTTTCAGGTAGGCCGTATTATTACAAAACATTCGTTTTCTGCTGTATGATAGTTGGCTTTTGCATCTTAAAGCGACCAGCTGGCATAACTGATGACTCTTTTCAGTCCGTCAGTTTTCTGCACATGAGCGGCGCCGAGTCCTACACTGCTTGCGTCGGTGTGTATTTTCGTCTAGGTGGTTTCGTCGAAATGCCCGAGCAATGAAGGTGTCTGCAGGCGTCGTTTTAGTTTCTGAAGTGTTTCCTCTTGTCGTGTCTCCAACTCAAACTTCATATAAGGTTCTGGAAAGTTAGTGAGTGGTTATGCAATGCGAACGAAGTTTTTGACGAACCTCTTGTAATACGCGCGCAGGCCAAAAAATGGCGCACGGCCTTCTTGTCGGGGGGCGGTGGAAAGTCGGCGATTGCGACTGCTTTCCGCAGATCGGGATGGACTCCACACTTGCTAATCACTTGTCCCAAGAACAGGTG